TGTTATTTTCTGTTTTCTTTTTGATTATTGCCAGTAATGTCAGGGTGAGATGGTATCTCATTGCAGTTTTGATTTGCATTTCTCTAACAGCTACTTATCTCAAGCATTTCCTCATGTGTCTGTTAGCAGCTTGAATGTCTTCTCTGGTGAAGTGTCTGTTCATATCCTTTGCCCATTTTTTTACATAGAGTTTTTAATGCTGATTTTTTGAAACAGATTGCTAGGACTTTCTTCTGATGCACCTGTGTGTGAACTCGAACCTCCAACCTTTTAGTTAGCAACTGAGCGCGATAATCATTTGCACCACTCAGGAACTCTACTATGCTGGATTAGATGGTCTATAATATATTTAACTAAAAAAAGTAACAATACAAAGTGGGGCGGGGGAGCCCTGTTTATGCTAAGGCTCAGTTTCATAGGAGGAGTCAGTGTTCACTCTCTGTTTCCATTTTGGGTACGTTCTGTAAGAAGCAGCTAATCTTCAGAGTATGGCTTCAAACCTTTTGAGTATAAGGAGATGTTGGACTTTGATCTGTTGCGGTCATCCTTGTGCTCTCAGCGCCTCGCCTTGCGTCTGATGTGAAACAGGCGTCGTGCAGTCCCGGGACGGATGCAGAGTGTGACCTGGAGTTCAAGCAGCGGAAGTACAGACTATGAGGTGGCTTCACATTAGCAAGGGGAAGATATGTTGGCCTCAGAATGCAATGCCTGACTTGGGGAAATGTACCTCTGGAGGAGCAAATCCAAGTGGCCAGCAAGAGCTTAGGAAAATGGACATTGTGCTCTGGCTAAGAGAATTTTTCACTGACAAAAATGAACATAGAGAAAATATCAATGCGATGCCACTGACTCCTGAGGTGTTTGTATGGGTGTCTGGAGAACGAGCATCAAGCACGCTCTTGGGACCCTCCAGCAGTGTGGATCAGCAGAAAACATTATTGTGGAGGCAACTCCAGGCTCGGCCACTTGCTACCTGTGTGATATTTTTCCTCTTCAGTGAAATGTTGATAATCATGCCTACTTTGAGGGGTAAAGCCAACACTTGCATGTAAAGTGATCTTTAGTAAATCCAGTCTCCTACTGAAGCCTACTCAGTGGCTTCTCCTGCACTGATACCAAAGCCCAAGCTCCCTCAGAGGCGGGTGGTGCTTCTGTCACTGGGCTCCTGCCCATCCCCCAGCTTCAGCTCAAACCACTCTTTCCGTTCACTGAGTTCCAGCCACATGGACCTCCTCTCGGTTCAGCAAGACACTTTTATCACCACAGGGTCTCTGCCCTTGCTCTAGCTGCTGCCAGGTCTGCTCCACCCTGAGGCTATCTTTGCTTCCTTCTAGCACCTTCTCTTCTTTGGGCCTCGGGTCTAACCTCACATCTTCAAAGAGGCCTTTCCAGACCATCCTACCAGATCTCTCACTTTCTTCAGAAGAGTATATTCTCAAAGATCTTGGTCATTTATTAGTTTACATTTTTTTAACTGTGGTGAAAATATGTATAAAAGTACATTTGCTGATTCCACAGTTTTTACATGTACAAGTTAGTGGCATTGATTACATTCATCATGTTGTACAACCACCACCACTATTCTTTTCCAAAAGATTCCACCACCACCGACAGAAACTCCTAAACACTGACAGTGTCCCCTAAGCGATGGCTCCTTCCTTTCCCCTCCCTCACACACCTGCTAACCACTAATAAGCTTTGGTCTCTATACATGTGCCTATTTCATTTAAGTGGGATCATACAATATAGTCCTTTTGTGACTGGCTTATTTCATTTAGTAAAATGTTTTCAAGGTTCATCCATGTTGTAGCATGTATCAGATCTTCATTTCTCTTTATGGCTGAGTAATACTCCATTGTATGGATAGAGCACATTTTGTTTACCCATTCATCTGTTGATGGATATTTAGGTTGTTTCCACCTTGGATGTTGAAAATAGTGCTGCAGTGAACACTGGTGCACAATTAGTTTATGTTTTTGTCTTAGTCATCTAGCGCTGCTATAACAGAAGCACCACAAGTGGATGGTTTTAATGAAGAGAAGTTATTTCCTCATAGTCAGAGTAGGCTAAAAGTCCAAATTCAAGATGTAAGCTCCAGGGGAAGCCTTTTTCTCTCTGTTGGCCTTCTGCTCTTCAGTGTTCTCCCAGACTAGGAGCTTCTCTGTGCAGGGACCCCGGTCCAAAGGACACGCTCTGCTCCCGGCACTGCTTTCTTGAAGGTATGTCTCACTGCTCACTTCTGTCTTTTATATCTCAAGAGATTGCCTCAGGACACAATCCAGTCTTGTAGATCAGGTCCTGCTTTACTAACACAACTACCACCCATCCTCCCTGATTAACATCATAGAGGCAGGTTTACAACCTACAGGAAAATCACACAGTACCAGGAATCATGGCCTAGCCAAATTGATACACACATTTTTTGGGGGACATAATTCAAACCACGACAGTTTTTATTATTGGTTCATTATTGGTCTCCTCGTACCTAGAGGGTCGCTATGAGTCGGAATCAACTTGACAGGAAGGGGTTTAGTTTGGTTTTTTGCTCTCTGCAGTCCATCTGCCTTATTGTCCCTGTGTCCTCTAAGTCTGGCATAGTGCCTAGCACAGACCACGTGCCCAGGACAATCTGCTGAATGAATACATGACTGAATGAATGGGGGAAAAAAAAGGAGCTCAGCTGACTTCTTTTGGTTATCTGGAAGTGTAACTATTGTTATCAAGTAGTGTTTTTTTGATTGCACTTATAGAATACAGAATACAGAAATCATTATAACATACCCAAAATATATAACAGAAAAATGTAAGTGTAAATAGGAATGGCTCTTTTTACCATGCCATAATTTAAAATGGAAGAGTAATGGATTTTTACATATATTCCCATATGTCATGGAAGGGTAGGCTGGTAAATTTTCTGTACATGCCTACAAGGTTATACTGCAAATATCCATTCTACATAACATCAAAGGGTTACTTTCTTGCTGGGAGTGGGTGTTTGTAGCTTTCCTTCAATTTGTATACACACAATAGATAGTTTACATAAATAGATATTCAACAGCTCTAGCAAAATTCTTACTGTCAAGGGGAAGAAAACGTCAGAGTAAGCTGTAAAAAAAGTGACTGGTTTTTTAAAATGTAGAAACGGCAATTCGCAGCATTTATACAAATTGCCATAGACTGCAGGTTGCAACACTGGGAGTGAATAGTAAGAAAAGTTGCAGCTAAAAGCAAATCTGGGGACACTTGTTTAGAAGGTAAAGGCTTAGTATTATAGCGTTCTGGCAATCTGCATAACATTACCTAGAGTGCTTTGCATTGGAATTGAGATGTTATGTATTGATTTTCTCATATGCAAAATGCTCTAAAACTTATCTTGGATGGAACAGCGGAATTACTTTTTAAAATTCCCTTTATATTTTGGACATGTTGATCTGTAACAAAATCACCATGACTATTTAGTCTGACAGCTGACTAGATTTAATATTTGGTACCTTATTTTCTGCTATAATTTTGCACACTTCCTGTGAATTCTATAAATACACAGAAACATGAGGCAGTATCAGCAGAAAATATAAGTAGCTTCGAAAGGAGTTAGCTAAATGGAAAAGTGAGAGATCCATAGTGAGATAATACAAAACAGCTAGGTTAAATCATAAATAATAACTTTTCTTGCAATATTATATTTTAGAGGTGGACATACAATTGAATTAAACTAATGGTCTACTGAAATTTTTTTTGCACTTGCATATTGTGTTCTCTTTTCTTCTCTGTTATCACCATAAAAAAGAAAAAGAAAAACCAAACCCGTCACCTTCGAGTTGATTCAGACTCATAGGGACCCTACAGGACAGAGTAGAACTGCCCCACAGGGTTTCCGAGGAGCAGCTGGTGGATTTGAACTGCCGACCTTTTGGTTAACAGCCAAGCTCTTAACCACTGCGCCACCAGGGCTCATATTCAGTATATATTTTCCCCAATTAAAAAATAATTTATATAATTGTTTTAGAGTTGATAGAATGGGGACAGATGTTTGTGAATAAAAAAGTTTTTTTTTTTTGGCGGGGGGAGTGAGTGGGATGAAGTCCTGAGCCTCAAGCCACACTAAGTAAAGCAACAGCCAAATCTGAGTTTGAGATGACACAGGATCAATCATATATAGACTCAGCCCCAACTCTCTGAGGTTACCTCCCTGAGAATTCTGTTTTCTTTAATAACCTAAGACCTAACAGGGTCAACTCTTGGGTGTTTGTGACCAAAAGGACCATTGTTGTTGTTAGTTGCTATAGAGTCGATTCCAACTCACGGCAAGCCTGTCTGTGCAGAGTAGAACTGCTTCATAGGGTTTCCAAGGCTGTGACCTTTCGGAAGCAGATTGCCAGGCCTGTCTTCCGAGGTACCTCTGGGTGGGTTTGAACTGCCAGTCTTGTGCCACCCAGGGACTCCTCCAGAAAGGACAAATAGAGATCACATCTGTTCATTTGAAAACAAAAATACCATTTAGGAATATTTTGTGCTTTAGAATATCTTAAACAGAAAGGACTAGTTAAGATATTCTAAAGCATAAAATATTCTTAAATGGTGTTTTTATTTTCAAATGAATGAATGTGATCTCTTTTTCTGGCAGGCTTATCTCCTAATAATGTAGTATTAAGGCTAGGATTTAAGACGGGGCATTTCCTCAGCAAAGGCCAACAGGATTGGGGAATGGAGTTCCCGGGATATAGAAATAGAAAGTTCGCTCAGGACTAAGAACTAATCCGTAAACCAAAAATCCACAGGTAGACAGTACTTTACAAAAAGCCCATAGGATGCTGCTCTGGTCTTTTCTGTGTGAACCAATATTTCCATAACATATCACTTTGTTTAGGATTTACCTTTTCTTTTACCACAAAGAAGATGGTGCAAAAATGCTAAAGAGATCTTTTATGCTTTTAAATTACTATCAAAGTCTGCACCTAGATGGCCAGAATCTATCACAATACCAGACAATTGCAGGTTACCTTGGATACCAGGCTGGCTCTGTAGGCTGCTAGTTGCTTTAGGTACTCTTTCTTCGCAGCCTCTGTTTTCTTTTTATAGACCTGTAACAACAACAAAGAATCTTAAATTAGAAAGTACATCTGCTTTTGTTTTCAGAGAGGTGCAATGCAGAATGATAATTACACACACATACACACACATACTTATATAATAATATATATATATCTCTCCAAAGATTCTGTTTGCTTAAAGTCCAGTAGAAGTGACCATTCTACTGAAACAGCTTTTTAAGAAGTATGCCAATAGACTAGATAAAAAGAAGATGAATAGTGAAATTTTACATTTTATAGAAAGTACATGAGAAGATTTATGTGGGTTAGTTTGAGAGTGAAGGTAGTTGGCTTAGAAAGAAAGACAGCATTGAGGAAGATTTCCAGGGAATCTACATATGAATAAAGAACATATTCGTATGTATATAATGGACAGATAATCCTACAGTGCCTCCAAATCCTGCTATATAGGTTCCATGTGTTTCCATAAAAACAGGAACAGAATTAAAAGAGAAATTATGTTCAATAAACAAAGGGACAGTGTGGGGTTTGCAGGTTCATCACTTTTTAAAAGTTTTGAACTTTGAAGTCCTGTTTGTGTATCCTAAGCCTCAGGAATTAGGGACAGAAGTCAAGGACCCCCATTGGGGGTGGAATGGGAACTACAAGTGGCTGAGGATGGCATGTGTTTAGTGAGCCTGCTCTGGTCCTGTTCTGCCAACGAAAACGCGGGTGACATGCATCTGTGAATACCTAGTTTTGAAAAGGTAAAAATGTCCTGAAATGAATTCTAGTTTACAGAAGCTTTTGTGTTTGAGGGGGAATCATCTTGAAAATAAAAGTAAAATCATCCTAAATTGAGCAAAAGTACTGAAAAATGACTTGTGAGTATGTGAAAGGGTGCATTGCTAAATTAAACAGAGAGGCATCATTAGAGTGGCAAATGAAAAATTAGCAAAGTGAACACATATGGTCGTCTGCTACCATTCAGTTAATTCTTGCAAGGCTTTGGAGTATATTTTTGGTAATCTTTTTAAATCAGCCCTGAAAAACAAAATATTCTCCACCATTTCCTGGATAAATCAAAATGTAGTTTCATTGATGTAACTATTTCGGATTTCCCACATCTTGAGTTTTACAGCAGGGAGCCAGGCTTGGCTAATAGTTTTGCAATGCGGAGCTCAGAAAAACAGACACAGATCTGTATTGAAAAGTGGCTTTAGCGTTAGTCAGACTAGTTAAATATAAATCATGTCTAAAGACCAAAAATCTGCCCAAGTTGGTAGCAGAGGCCAATTTATAGCTTCTAAAGCTGATGGTGGATTTGTGAGCCCAGGACTCGAATATGAAATGCAAGATGTGAAAGTTATTACTTACTCATGAATATTTCAATTAAAGGAGAACATTTTACTTAAGGTAAACAAATGACTAACCTTGTGAACAGAATTATAACAGGACTCTATGAAATGAATGTGCTAACTGTTCTTTATGAATCAGAATCGACTCAATGGCAATGGGTTCGGTTTTTTTTTTGGTCTTCAGTCTAGACTTCTATTTGGCATTTTGGTATAACAAAAGTCAATTAAAATAAGACAATTAAGAATGAGCTCAATATTATCATATAATCACTGTACCATCTTTACTAAATAAGACATAACTAAAGAAACTTAAAAGTCTATATAGAAGTTTTTTAGTAAAAAGCAAATAAATCCTTCAAGTACAAGAGTCTTCTAAATTTACTGAGCTAATTATGGGAAGCCAAATTCCGATTTATTTTTGGAAATTCACACGTAAACAGACAAATGCTAAAGCAGAGCAAATGCCCTTGAACAGTATGGCCTATGTATATTGTATGTGTTAGTTCAGCCACAGTCAGAAACACGGAGTTCTTCTGCCTTTTATTATTGTATTTTTTTTCTTGAGAGACATATTTCTGTTTATAGGCTTTCCTTAAACTTCTTTCTCCAAGACATAATTTTCAATTAATGGTCTTAAACTGACAGTGTTTACATTTACTTTTAATGCCTTAAAATGGTTTCAAGAGGGATTTTCTCCCACACCGATAGAAATCCTAGTCATGACTTGGAAGCAAATATTTAGTAAATATATCTTTGATGTTAATATGTATTTGTATAACCTAAGCATTTCTATCATGTGTCATGAATATGCTACTCCAAGTGACCCTCATTTAGCTAACTAGGGTTTGCTTAGCATCCAGAGGCTGTTTTTTTTTTTTTTTTTTTTAAACACAACACACTTTGGTCCCTCCCATTGCCCAAAGCATCAATTTCTAGGTAGGAATAGAGAGACAGCATTGCCAGAAGGTCTGATGTAGCATTTATCATCTTTCTTTCGTTTGGTTTCTTCTGAAACAGCTACAGTGTTGCTGTCTCATGGTTAGGCTCCTGGTAGTTTACAGCACACAAAGTGTCAGCTTTTCTGCAATTTGTTTATCATCCACCAGAGAGATGCAGCTAACTCAATGCACTTCAGGCTGAATCTGTGCCCCCTGGCTTCACTCAGGGATCGATGCTGTTAGGAGATACCTGACTAGCACACTGGAGTCCCTGTTTTCTACAAATGGCTCCCTATTGGCTATTGACGACTGGCTATATGGGATCACCGAGTAAGTGCCTAAATAATACTTTAGAAGAGGGTAAACTCATCACATCACATTATGCGGAGCAATGAATTTACTCTTTTCAGAATAGCTGCAGATGTTCCGACAGAGGATTTGAAGGGATTTCAGGACGTATGTTACTGTATTTGCGTTTAAAGGGCAGTAGCCCAGACCCGAATGAAAATCTGAGATCGTCTCCCACTTCCCCGCCTCAGCAAGCTAAACTCCCACCTTTGAAAACTACCTAATGTCTACAGTATGATTCATCCTGTATGTCCTTCTCATGCTACCTTCTAAAAATGCACAAGAATAAGTTTTAAATTCTATATTTGATGGAAGTGTCTGAAGGAAGACCTCAAATATATGAGAGAATGATAAAAGAATATTTAAGAATTCCATATGCCAGTAGTGGGGGAAATTCTTAAGAAGTGGGGAAATTCTTACTTTAGAACAGATATTTAAAAATTACCCATAAAAAGTTTCTGAAAAACTTTTCCAAAAGCCTCTGTTCATGGATGGAGACAGTCCTGTACTTGCAGAAACCAATAATGAGAAGGGACTGCATTTGGCAATGAAAGTACACTACCATAATCAAGTGCACAAACCTCCTATCCTATAAGGATGGGTCTGATTTATGTCAAGGTTAGGTCTGGGAAAGAAACAGTCTCTCCCTCTCTCAGGGAAAGACAAACATTTTAAAGGTATGTGATTCATTCAGTAAATATTAGTACTCAGTTGAGCTACAAAATGGCTTCCAAATGGTCGACAGCTGTTTGAAATAAAGTGCAAAGTTGGCCAGATGAGGATTTAAAAATCATAATACATCATTTATCATTTTCCGCAGCTCATCCAAACACTTTTGAATTCATCCTGTCCTAACTTAGTTATGTGCTGTGGTTTGTTATTCTAAGAAAGCTACCATATCCTATCTAAGGATTGCATCTCAGTGGCTAAACTAAAACATACCTAGATAGACAACAAATAGCAATTCTAGAGAATCTAGATGCTGTTTGTGTAGTCTAATAAATCACTGAATCATTTCTGAAATGCTCTAAATACCAGTATGTACATGTATTTCATAGGCTATTATTGTTGTTAGTTGCCGTCAAGTCTATTTCGACTCGTGGCGAATAGAACTGCTCCACAGGGTTCTCAAGGCTGTGACCTTTCAGAAGTAGATCGCCAAGTCTGTCTTCCAAGGCCCTTCTCGGTGGGTTCGAACTATCAACTTTTTGGAGAGAGCTGAGTGGTTAACGGTTTGCACCATCAGGGACTCCTATACTTAGAGATTAATAATCCCTAATTAAAATAACCAATTCAATATCAATGAATATATAAACTTAAACATAAAAAAATTCTAATAAGCCTGTCTTACTATTCTTTTACTTTCTGTTTCTTCCTCAAACATCAATCCATCCCTGATACAGAAAAGCAAAAGTCTTATAAATACCATTTAATTCCTTCTTCCTTCCTCCTTTTCTGCTCTGGCCCTTAGTTAATCTCCAGTCATAGTTTATTTCAACAAAGTCTTCACAGAAATAATAAGAAAGCATTTAAATTCTTTCAATTCTGGATTCTGTTCAAACACTATGAAAAAAAAACTAAAAGGCGTTTTGCTTTTTTGGTTAACTTCAAATGCATTTCTTTCAACTGCAAGTTTATTTTTATAGAAAATGCTTAGAAATATATTTGTATAAGGAATAATGAATTAATCACAATTCCCTGCCATATTCTATAGAAATTTAAGTTTCTGGCTTCTTTCAATGCTGTTATTATTTAAGTGCATCTGTATTTTATATAGAACCTAACCCTTAAATGTGGTTAAATTTCCATCTTGTGTAACTTGCTCAGAATTTCCTTAACTGTTCCAAAACTCAAAGAACTTTATAAAGTGGTATTTAGAGGATTCAGAGGATTGAAAGTACAGAATGTGGTAAAAATCTTGCTATCATTTCTTTTTGAAGACTGTCTGATCCATCTAAAGGGTCTATACAATTTTGATGTGACCTGTTTCTGGAACGGCAGGTACCAGAAGCAAGCTCCTTGCCTGAGAAAATAGCTACAAGATAATTATCTGTTTACTTACTGAACGAGGGTGACTAGGGTGAGTCTGGTGTTGTTCAATTAAATATAAAAATATATTGAGAGTCTATATATGACCTGGAGCCCTGGTGGGGTAGTAGTTAAAACACTCAAATGCTAACCAAAACATGAATGGTTGGAGCCCACCAGCCGTTTCTGGGGAGAAAGATGTGGCAGTCTGCTTCCGTAAAGGTTTACTGGCTTGGAAAGCCTATGGGGCTTTTTTACTCTGTCCTAGAGGCTTGCAACAGAGCCCTGGTGGCGCAGTGGTTAAGAAGTACGGCTGCCAACCAAAAGGTCGGCAGTTTGAATCCACCAGCTGCTCCTTGGAAACCCTACGAGGCAGTTC